CTTTAAAATTAGCGATCTCGGCAATTAATTGCTTAATTGAGGAGGCGAATTATCTTTAGCGTTTTTAAGAGTTTGTAGACTATACGATCTGAGGGAGTGGCTATTATTAAAATATTATAGATGACGAAAAAGGATTATCTATCGCTAAGGAACGAAAACGATAGTAGGAACTCTTTCGGGCGTGCCTGCGAGAGGATAACGACGGAGGCAACCAGGGTCGTTTGAAAAGAGGGTCAAATATAATATAACAGGTCTAAACGAGTTGAACACAGCGAGCAGTCGTGTAAGGTTGAAATGCTATATTTGATAAGGAAAGAAAGAGAGGAAAGACTATACTAGAAGGGTATAATTAAGACAAGGTTTTAAAGTGCGGGCGCACGGGCCAGGCAAGCCGGGCAGTCGAGTAGGTCCAGCCAACTAGAGAGGGTGTATTGGCCTTAGCGCTGGCTAGTTGCATGCAATTAGCTTGGTAATAGCCAAGTAAATACTCTGGGCACTAGCCCTATAATATTTAAGGTTGTTATAGTATATTATTTATTATTTTATAATATTTAGCGCAGTAAATAGTGCTAGTAAATAGCAGCTTTCCGGGATAAGGCTAATTTGGGGACGATTAATTAATTAATTATTCTAATTTTAATATTAATTGCTATATTAGTTTTGAGTTTAATTTAATAGACGAGTTTGATTCTAACTATATAAATTTTAATCTTAATTTGGGGTTTAATATCTTTGATTTTAACAATTTCAATTCTAGTATTTTCGATTTTGGTTCCCCGTATTTCGATTCTAGTTATAGGAGTTTGGTTTATTATTTTGGTACCCGAGTTGTTTTTAATTCTAATTTAATTGACGGGAAGTCGAAATTAGAATTTTGTTACCGTATTTTTGGAATGTTAATCTTTGGATTATATTCTCCCTTTCTCGAAGTTCGTTTATTAATATATTAACGGTTAATAATAAATTTAATTTAATTAAATTTATTTAAATTTTAGGGTGGAAGGTTTCGAAGACGGCAATTAGTTAGCCGAGTAGATTAAGGTTATAACTTTTAGTACTACGAATAGTAGTTTAGATAAAAGCTAATATATTCTTGCTTTAATATACGTTGTATAATATAAATCTAGCCTTTTCAATTTTAATTAAAGTAATTAAATAATGAAGTTTGAATTTATCTTTTAATTTTATATAAGTAGTATTAATAAAGCTTGTTTCGAATAATAAATAATTAATTTTAGAAAGTACGTAATTATATTAAATTAAGGTAGGGCTTATAAAATATTAGGCCTAAATTTAATAGATTTAAATTTTGTTATTATCCTTAAAGTCTTTAATTTAATATTTAAATTTATTAATAAAGGCGTAGACATTTATATATTTCTTAATTTTCTCGTTAAAAATAATGATATTAATAAATATTAGAGATAGGTTAAAGTAATTAATATTTTTTATTTTAATATTATACTTTGAATTGGATGTTATTAGAGGGTTTTTCGCGTTTATTCTAATTATTATTTCGGCGACTATTTTTATTATAAGGGAGATAATCTCTATTTATATTAACTCTTTCATTATTTTAATATTTTTAGTTTTATTGAATTTTTAATTTTAAAATTCCCGAAGTTTAATTTTTCGTTATTAATTTTTTCGACGTTAAGCTTCTTCGAATTCGAGTTAATAACGAGCTTTTTTAAATTTAATGCGATATTATTAATCTTCGTCGAATTCGATTTAATGATAGGCTTTTTTAAATTCGTTTTAATAATAATATTTAATAAATTTGGTTTAATGACGAATTTCTTTAAATTAAATTTAATAAAGAACTTTTCCGAATTCGATCTAACGACGACGTTGGGTTTTAAGCTATTAAATTTATTAGTATTAATATTTTTTAAATTTAAATTATTAATAGAGTTTTCGGATTTTTTATTATTAATATAATTTTTTAACTTTTCGTTAATAACGTTCTCAACTTTTTTATTATTAAAATTCCGTTGTTAAATGTATAGTATAATTAACGATAGTTTCCTATTATTATTCATATTATTAATTTATTTTTTAATGTTTATATTATATATAAATTATTTTTTAAAAACGTTCGAATTTATTAAAGAGATTTTCTAATATTAGAAAATAATATAGAATTAATTTTTTATTCATTGATAGGGATAAAAGAAGTTCAGTAAAATTGGAAGTATCTTCTAAATTAATTTTAAATTTAGTTCTAAGTCTGGGAATTTTAAATACGGAGTTGGGATCCTAAAGTTATTCTATTGAGGCCTATTAATATTATTTAAATTATTAAAGTTTGGTTTAGAAAGTTTAATTTGGTACAAAGGGGGATTATTTATAGTATTGGATTTAATTATTATAGAATTTAAGACGATAAAATATAGGAGGATTGAGAGGGTTTATAAATTATTAATCGGGCTATTTTTAAATTTATTGAAATTAATCTTTGTGACGGCTGGTGCTGTCATGGGTCACATGGTTCAGGCGCAGGTTCTGGGCTTGGCTCCGGCTGCCTCCCAGTTAGGGTATAAGAACCTCGCCTCTTCTATTAGCCTTCCCTTTTGGGATTTCTTCCTTCTTCAACTTCTTGTCTTTAGTCCAAGTTAGCTAAATGGTACAATCATCACACTGTCTAGCTACGCCGTGACAATCTTTAAGGAATTAATATTACGATTATTATTTAATAAATTTAGTAAGTTAATATATTAAAGTAATTTATATTTTAAATTGTTATAGGGTCTATAGTTGATTCCTGTAGGGAATTCTAATTTTTTTTTTAGTATTTTTAATAAGTTAGAAATCTAGTAAGGGAAATTTTATTATTTGCCTAAATTGGCGGATATTTTTCTTTTTTAGTAGGGAATTAATCTTCTGGTTTAAAAGTTAATTTAAGAAGACAAATGAAATCAATATCTTCGCTTGTAATTCGGGTAGTATAAATATAGTTTTTAGTATAAAAATAAAATAGTTGTCGAGTTTTTAGAAATGTATTAGATATTTGGTAGGGATTGATATATGTAATTATAATTTTAATGCGAGGCGTAGAGATTTTTGGCGGGGTAAATTAGTTTCGGGGTTTGAAATTTAAGTGTAAAATAGCGATGTAAGTTTAGAAATTGGTATTAAAATCTGCGGAAGTTCGGTATAAGTTAATTGAAGGTTGAATTTGGGTATTTTTTAATCGTTTTAGTAGGTAAAGTAATTAGTTTAAATAGAATTAAATATTTTAATTTTGAATTTCATAGTTAAGTGTTTAATTAGTATTATTATTATTAGACCGATAGATTAATTAGAAGTATCCTCGTTAAACGATTGAAATAAAATATAAAAGGGAAGATTTGATTGATTTTGGTCGATGCCTTCGATTTTTCAATAGTTTACGCGTTCGATTCGCGATAGTATACTACTTTGTAAGGGTAATGAAATTTGTAATATAATGTATGTATAGATTGATGATGAAGTAGGCTAAGTCTAGGTTAAGCTTGTGGCCGATTCGAAGTATATATACCCTCTTAGTGCTTTATTTATTGGGTACTTCCTTCTTTGGAGTTTGGCTTGTGCTAAGCCTAGCCTGGCTTGGCCTGCCTGGCAGGTGCATGCCTGGCAGTGCCCTGACACCGTGGAACTTGTGCAAAGGTCGCACACCTCGTGCTGACTTCCATTATTTAAATGTGAGACGATCATTTGTGCTGATTCATTTAACTCCCACAAGTGCTATATACTCAACAGATGGGCGTCACTGCATCAACTGAGATGTTCATGTTGTCCGCGACTGTCGTCGCCTCGTCCATCATTTTGTCTTCACATGTACTGTACCGTACTGTATTTGTAGAACTGTTGCGTGTAGAGAAGTCCCTTGCGCGATGATTGGTCAATCCCCTCAATTTTCACGTGACTCTCAGAAGGGTTCCTTTCCATGACGTGCACCTCTTTCAGTTTTGACGCTTCCGCCTTCAACATCATCACCGTCATTCTTGGAGTCGCTCCCATCATACATTCATTTCCGCGTGTATCTATTTGCTGGGAGTCTCCTCCCCTTGGCTGCTTCAATACGCTATCGACACTTTGCATCCTTCACATTCTCGTCAATGACTGTTCTCCAGGTCTTTTCATTTAGCCGGCAACCCTAACCCGTGACTACTCCCTCATGTATTTGATCTCTAGCCGACTAGGCAGCCGTCAGGCACCAAAGCCACCAACCCAAATGTCTGGTGTAAACAACAACCATCCGCGATCACCTCTAATGCTCTCTTCTTTTCGCATCCTTTAAGAGTTTCGTGTCCCGTTCCGCAGCAGTACTTCGCGAACGCAACATCTTCCTCTAGGCAGGATGATTTGCGCGGATTGTTCCAATTTGGCCGTGCACATCAACACCGGAGTTTACACATCCGATTGCGCCTGGAAGACAATTACACAGCTCCTCGGTGGCAATGCTTATCAAAATTGCGACTTGTGCAAGGCGTACGTCTCCAACATTTCCCATGGGAAAAATTATCTTGTCTACAGGAAAATACCCTATAGCGAAATGGATCCGGAAAAACCAATTCGAGTCCGCGCCTCAAGTTATCGTGGACGTGGCACTCCGGAGACCCCTCACATACTCTGCCAGGTTTACTTCTCCTCATGTGGATTTTACAGACCTTTAGTCAGCTTTCGAATTTGGCGGGGTAAGTACCTCATCTACACTTTCACTCACATACCTTATCTGTCTCCCATGTTTCGTATGATCGTAGCTGAAATCCCCGGCAGTAACGTTATGATATTGTCCGGTCAGAACTCACAGCATCTGACACTTCCATTTTCATCTAGAGCCCGTTGTCCTGGGTTCCCTTCCCTACCATGATAGCCAAAGAATACACAACGGGCCCGTCGGTGATCCTAAGGTTATCCAGCGACTTGAATTCCAAAAGAGGCCGCACGTGGCTCAGACACGATATACCTCGCAGTCTCGACACCCACAGGAGAGTGTTGCATGGACAAAACCTATCATGGACGCCAGAGGGCCAGAAACTGCTGCTCAACTAAGATTTTGGCTGTGGAAATGTGTTAATGATCACCCGAAGTGCAGAATGGCGCTGTCTGGTAAAAGATTTGGCATGCATTCCCACACCTCATCCTTGGATCAGACCAAGTTACCCTCCCGGATACTCGACGTTGGTTCTGCCGATTCAAGTGTTGTCAGACTTGTCAAAACCACAACAGAAACTCCCAGCGGTTCCTACGTTGCACTCAGCCATTGTTGGGGCCCCCCAGACAAACAGCCGCTCAAAACCACGTGTGATACATTGGAGGATTACATACGCCACGGTATCCCACTGGCTTGCCTGCCTCAGACATTTGCGGACGCGGTTTGGGTGACCAGGGTGTTGGGAATCCGCTATCTATGGATCGATTCTCTGTGCATCATCCAAGACAGTCTGTCGGACTGGGAAGTAGAGTCGCAAAAAATGGGCCCAATCTATGAAGGAGCGACACTCACATTGGGAGCTGCGTATGCCCGCGATTCTTCCGAAGGGTTGTTCAAAGGTCTTCAACGACCGGACCCGGAGAAGGTCGTCAAAGTGTATACGCCCATGGAAGGATCCTCGGCCCTGGCACCCTTTGTGACATGCTTTCTTCCTGAAAAAGAGTGGGCACCCTCATACATTGGCGCGTGGTATGACAGCCCCTTGGCCAAACGCGCGTGGGTGATGCAAGAATGGGGCCTCTCCCGCCGCTTTGTATGGTCTGAAAACAACTCACTGCTCTGGAGGTGCCGAGAAAAACATGAGACGGAACCCTATGTCACATGCTGGCATACGTTCGACAAGCTAACCAGCAACTGGCTTCGGTTGATGCAGGACTATGTTCGGATGCAGCTCACTTATGAGACTGATAGACTGGTTGCGCTTCGTGGCATTGTAACAGCCCTCAAAGAGTCTTACAGGAAAGAGCAAGAATACCATTTCGGCATATGGCTGGAGGGACACAAGACAGTTTTTTCGCTGTTTTGGGAGAAAACCGACCTTCATACCGACACACCCGGAACGGGTCTCCACGGAATCCCTTCCTGGAGTTGGGCATCTGTGGTTGACGAGAAAGAATTTACCCTAATGCCCGACGACACCGATTTGGGGCTAAAAAACACCCGGTACCATTACGACAACCAAGGTATAACCGCAGACAACAACGGAATCGAGCTTCACTTGCGCGCACCGATAGGCATAGTTCAGCTTTGTCTGGAGGGGAGTTATGATAAAGTTTGTCGACAAAAGTCTGCGAACCGTTATCGAAGGATGTCGATTTACAGCACAAACTCGAGTCCCAACAACAGCATTTACAGCACAAACTCGAGTCCCAACAACAGCATTTACAGCACAGATGCCGAGGGAACTAATAGCGCAGTGGCCTTAGGTTGCCTAACCCTCGACTATACGATTGACGTGCTCAACTGTCCTACACCGTCCGGTATTACGCACCACGTTATTCCGCTCGTCAGAGTAGACGAAGCGCTCACCGCCAATGATTACATGCTCGTCGTCGAACCCGCAAACAAGCCCGATGGCAGCAAGGCTTATCGACGAGTAGGAATGGGCTTTGTTAAGGGGGGGTGGGAAACGTATGATGGATGGTCCTGCTGGAGAAACATGCTCTCTGAGATGGAGACAGAGGATATCGTCCTCGTTTGACACGGTACTACCTTGTCGCAACGATGAGCTGAATACCGGGGACCAATTTCCTTCGATGTGTTTGTTGTCGATTTGCGTCGCTCGTATACATGTAGTCAAAGTCTGAGGACTCTACGTTGGCAATTTGTGCTGCAAAGCTCTGCTCCTGCGTCGTTTGGAACTGTCCCTTCCTTTTTCTTTCCATGTTTTCGTCTCTTTTTTTCCCTGGTGGAATTGGCTGCGGCACGAGTATGATGAAGAGGGAAGAAAACAAAAACAATGTTGCCGGGGAAAAAAACTATCTCTTTCGTCCTCGTCGATTGCCTGATATTCGAACTTGCGAGCGCGCATCTCGGAAACTCGAACACCATTTGTCTTGCGTCGTCGCATTCAATATTCTCAGTTCTCATTTCTCAACCCCAGGTTTTGCCAAAATCTCAAAGAAAGAAGAACGGGAACATCCGAAATTCGCGTGCCTCGGCCCACCGACACATCCACTGATTGACGCTCCCGCTCGGCTCCCCGCATCGGGCGGGGTCCGAGACTGATCAGGGATTCAGGGGGCATTGTCCAGCGGGGCATTTTCCAGAAGAGGATCAACTTGCGAATGAAGGTTTTGATTTTTGACAGCTTTGACAGCATGCATGAATTTCCCTCTCGTGTTTCCCCAACGTCGTTTCCGTATGTCAAAACGTGGGAAATGGCCATGTTACCATGTAGCATTCGGTCCGTTGAGGTTGGGAACCACGATCGAACGATAGGCCCGGGGGCCTTTGTGGTGTCTGCTGACCGGGGCCCCGGGCTTGCCGGCTAGATCTTAGCGGACTTGGCTGTGTCTTAGCAGCTCCACAAAGGATGGCGGCCTCCCCCTGTTAGTGTCATGATAGCGCGCCATTGCATTTCTTGCTTGCCTGTTTTGTTCCTGCTTCCTGCCCCCAACCACAAAGCCTCAATCCCACCTGACCACACCCTTCTTGTGCTTTCCCATCTGCACCGCCCGGACTCACCCGTCCCTTCTTCTTCTTCTTTTTTTTTCTTCTCTTCTCTTTCCCTTTTTCATCGTCAAAGAGCTGTACACACGGACACGCTAAGACACGCAGCTTTTATACGGTCGATCGGGGCAACACGAGACCCTCAACTCACTCCCTCACTCACTCACCGACACCCCCGTAACCACAGTCAACCTCATATCATTACCGCCAAAATGTGGACAATCGTCGCCCGCTTTGTCGAGGCCGCTGCCTCCGTCTCCCACTACACCCGTGAGGAGCCCTGCGCGACCGGCATCCATCTGATCGTCGCCCGCGGCAGCAGTGAAGCTCCAGGTCTCGGGCGAATCGGCGTTGTAGCCCGGAACGTCACCCTGCTCCTTCCCGGATCGACCATCGAGGCCATCGACTATCCCGCCACCTTCGCCAACTACACCACCTCGGAGGAGAAGGGAGCCATTGCCTTTGAGAAGAGTCTCGTTGACTACCATGCGAAGTGCCCGGACACCAAGGTTGCCCTGCTGGGTTACTCCCAGGGTGCGCAGGCTATGATGGACTCGCTTTGTGGCGGAATTCCTGGAGAGGGCTCGGATTATCAGGCTAGCAAGGGGTACTTGGAGGTGTTCAATGAGACGGGTATGTTTCTCTCCAACCTTTCATCTATCATCTTTGAAATTGGGGACCTGGACCCCTGAGATTGGGCATGAAGCTGACGTGAGACAACGACAGTCGTCGCGGCCGTCGCCTACGGTGACCCAAGCCACACAGCCGGGGCTCCCTGGAACCTTGGCTCCAGCACAAAGACTGGCGTAAGTCTCCCTTGTTCAGCCACTTTACCCCCCTGATTCGCTATTGACACCAATACCAACCCAGATCTTCCCCCGCGAGAACGTGACCTCCTGCCTGCCCCTCGCTTCGCACATCGCCTCTTGGTGCGACACGGGCGACATTTACTGCGATTCTGGCTCGGACATCACCGTGCACGGCGGTTACTTTGGCAACTACACCATGGAGACTGTCAAGTGGATCGTTGAGAAGTACAACGCTTCGATTGCTGCCGGCCAGAACGGCGGTTCCGACTCGGGTAACTCGACTACCACTGTTCCTGTTCCCTCGTCCACTTCGACTGGTGTTGCTGTCCCGACTGGATCTGGATCGGTGGTTGTGAGTGCGACCCCCAGCGCTTCTGCTTCGGGCGCGCCTGTTCAGGGTGCTGCGGTTAGTGTGAGGGGATCGGGCGTGATGGTTTTGGCTGGTGTTGTTGGTGCTGTCGGTATGGGTCTTGGTCTCTTCTAGAGCTGAGTGGGTGAGCTGAGGTTGGGAGAGTGAATGAAGAGGAATGAAGTACGAAATGGATTGGATACGAGTGATGATTGGACGGAGGGTATATGCCTTTAATCCCTATGAATTATATTTCATGAACAGACCTTTTACCTAGAACTAATGTTGATGGGAATCAAGTTTGGTTAGACAAATAGCCTCCGGCTTTCGGGACCCTGCCCCTGTATTACAACATCGTGCTGTGCAGTACCTGGGGGCCATGCACCATGTTGTCCAACACCGAGGGCCGCATGAACCCACCCATGCCGTTATCTCCGACCCAACCCAACCTCAACTCAAGCGGCATCCACCAACTTCTTCACAAACGCCAACGCTTGCTGTCCATACTTGTTCACATACTGCTGATGTGAGTTCGCATCATTCCCATTGCAGCAATAAGGATCAGTCGAGTCGCAATAGCTCTGAATGATCGACGGGCTGGCAGGTGAGCATTTAAATCCGCTCGGGCGGGCCGCAAACTGTTACACAGCTTCGTCAGCACCATCATTACTATCTCAAACCCACCACTTCAAATTTGACTTACCCCCTTCGCCTTACACGTCCCAACATTATACGGCAGTCCAACAACATTATGCGGATCCCCCATAAAAATCGCCGCCTTCACAGCCCTCAGCGCATTGCCCGTCAACGTCGCCCCCGCCCCTCCGCACAGCGCATTATCCATGATCTGTCCGCCCTGACTATACCCGACCAACACGATCTTCGTATCCGGGCATCTCTGGTTCAAGTTGGTCACGGCTTTGACCACGGCCGCAGTCCCCTGTGAGGCGCTGTTGTCGTAAGACACGCCTCCGCACGAGGATTGCCCACCGCAGGCTGGGTACACGATGGCTTCCTTGGTGGAGCCGGGGCAGGCGGAGGCGATGCTGTTGACGAGGCCGGCGGAGGTGCCGTAGCCTTGCGGGGCGGTGGTCTCGCGGGCGCCGAAGATGTGGACTTTGGGGCAGGAATAGGATTGGCGGGAGGTGAGGGGGCCGGCGGCGGCGAGGCCGGTGAGGAGGAGGCTGAGGGTTGGGAATTTCATGGTGATGGGATTGGTGTCGGAGTGATGTGGTATGTGAGCTGTAGTGATGGAGGAACAGTGTGGAATGGAGGGGAGGATGGGAAGAGGAGCTGGCGGTCTTATACTTGGAAACTTTTTTTGGGATTGAACATCCCGGACCGGGGCAATGGGACATGAGAAATTGACGACGAGAGCAATCTATCTCTATCATTTCTTTGACGGCTGATATTGAGTCAACCTGTCCACGCTGCTTCAGGTTTCAGAGTTACATGTCACTCCGTCGCTCCGCAGAATCTACAGGTAGCATTGGCGGTTCCTTTCACATCGGACATATGGCCATCACGGGACGCCGGGACGGCAAGTAAGTGCCGCGATATAGATTGCTTTGTGGGGAAAGCACTTGTGGCTAAATGCGCTTCCCCATGGGGTAGGGCGATCTTGACATTTATCCTAAAGCTGGCATAATGTTCATTCCACACCTGACTTCCAGTCAGCCGCTCTTTGGGATCCGAGTTCTGGAAGAAACATTGAACAGGTAGGTAACAACCTCGCATGTAGCTGAGGGCCAACGAGTGAATTGGTGGGAACTAGTAGCCACCTCAATCTCGGTAGAGGGCAAGTACTGGTCCTTCTTTTTTTTTTTTTGTTTTTTTTTTTTTTGTTTTTTTTTTTTTTTCTGTCCCAATTTCCTTTCCTTCTCCCTAAGGTATTTCCGTTCTTTCCCCCTTATCCCTTTTTCCCCTCCCCCTTTCCTCTTCTTCTTTCACTACACCTATACCCAGAGGTTGCAGTCACCATGCTTCTTTTCTTCATCCCTTGCGGCAAGTAGGTGAAAGGAACCAACACCTTTGCTTCCTCTTCGCACTGCAGGATCTTTGCGACAGGGGCATAGAAGTCCTCTCCGTCATCACTCCCTATGCTCGCCCTTGAACCCAAAGCGACCTCTCCCTGTATGCCGGAGTCGTGTTTTCATTCCAGGATCGTCTCATTCTCGAAGATGAGAGCTCGCGAACACGATCCGGAACCTCACGTCAATCCCTCCTCCCACTTCTGCGTTCCCTCTCCTCAACCAACCTACTCTTCCATCTCCTCAACGGATTCTTCGATCTCCTGAAGGTACTTTTACCTCTTCTTGACGTACTCTTCCCTCTCGTGTTCCGTTGACGGCTTTCTCCAAATCTGCAACTTAAACATATCTGGGCCATCATCCACTGATAGCAACGCATTGTCGTTAACAAGCAACGAAAGTTGCTTGATCACGTTAAGATGGTAGAGGGCTTCTAGGGTACGGGTATCCATTGAGGTAATTGGGTCGCCCAAGATCCCGCAAGTCCTCAATGCATCAAGCGTAACATCTTGCCGGGTTTTCTCTGTTGCCGTTTTGGGCACGTTGTTGACACTTGGATCCGCGATGGGTCTCCTAGGTGGGATGTTTGCCGGGGCATTATCATTGCTTGCTGCACGAGGCACTGGAGTACGAAAGTACAAGTGTTAGTTATCTTTTCTTGATTTACATCAACAGGTGTCAGTGTGTCGTTGGGGACTGAGGCACTTACTGATTTTCATCTTCTCCTCATCCGGCTGTTTGGGACGGATAGAAAGCTCCTGGACCCATGGTTTGTGCCTTGCTCCACCTTTTTTGTTTGGGTCTGACATCTTTCGTGGAAGGAGGTGGGGAGACATCTTGCGTGGACCCCGGTAGGGAGACAGCTTTCGTGGACGGCCTGGGTGATGGGGAGACATCGAAGTGATTTGTTGCCGAGTTCTAGCAGATTAGGGGAGAATGTGGTGTGAACTCGAAGGGAAGACCGAGAGTCGAATGAAGGGAGGAAGGACAGACTTTATTATGGACTGGAAGAGATTTAAGAGATTTCACTGCATGCTAAAAATGGTCTGCCTACGGGCTTTTGGGGGTAAACTGGTAACATGTCCGGCCGTATGCCCGATACAGTCCCTAAAGCATGCACATGCATGACATTTCTGTATCAACAGGATATATGCAACCTTCGCCATGTCCGAGGAATACCTTATGCAACAGCACGCATACCGCATGCTCCGGACTTCGCACACAAGAATCCATGTTATATCGACTAGAACTACGTGCTACTTGTGCTGCAACTGAAATTTTGCGAGTTGGGGTTAGTCCGATAGGGGCGAAGTTTCTAACCACATCAACAGGGCATCATTCATCAAGCACAGCAAGTCACGGCCAACGCATTTTCCACCGCTATGGACAAGAGGGATGATGCGAGTCATTGCAAGTCCACAATTCATATCGCTAATATAATTCTACTTCTACATACATCGACGCGTCCTCAACGCATACGATCTTTTTGCCACCTCTTCCTCCTCCCTTTTGCTTCAACCAAGCTGGTCACTGACTCGCTCGTTCTTATGCTATGGGTTCATCTTCATTCCGAAGCTTACGAACGAATGCTCCCTCATATCTCATTCACCCATTAGCCGAGAGCCTCTTCAGACAGCATCGTATTACTCAGTGACTCCCGTCACAACTACCTTAACCAAACTCCAGCTAACTTCTGACTCCGGAAGACGGCACTATTTGCCAAACGAACAAAGCTCCAAAATCACAAGACAAGGCTTGTAATTATAATCCTCGGTTAGTGCCCAGCGCGGCTATCACCCAACCCTCCCGGTCCTCCCTCATTAACAACCTGAGTCTGCGCAAGTGCCTGCTTACCCGCAGCCTTCTGTCGAATCTTGTTCAGCTCCAACTGCGCCCCACTCTGCGTCTGGGCGGTCACCCTCCGAGTTCTATTCAGCGCCTATCCCTATCCTCACAAACAAAGAGAACCAACTCCTCCTCAGGGGCCAAGCCCAACGGCACTCTACTCCTGACGATTTTGCAGAGCCAGGCGAGTGCCTAGCTCGAAGCCCTCCAAGCAAGCTTGGATGAGCTCTGGCCGGTTGGTGTAGTCGAGAGGTTGGAAGGCCCGGGCATTCTGACCGTTTCCAGCAGCGTTCCAAATTTCTACTGTCTTCAACGCTTTGAGGGCGACTTCCTCCCGTGCTTCGTGCTCGTTGCACTTGTTCGAATCGCCTTGGATCATGGTGCCGCCAACAAGGACATGGTACCGGTAACCCTCTTCTGAGGTTGGTACGAACAACCACTGGAGGGCAAGGTTGTTCTCGGAGCACTTGAAGCCGAGAACGTCTTGGTAGTCCAAGGTCTTTGGCGCGCTCTGGTTGTCTCTGGGTTCAGCGGGAGGGGCTGCCGCGCTGTTGTCTACTGCCACGGCGTTGTTAGGCTCTGCGGCAGGCAGATGTTCGGAAATGTTGGCCAGCGGCATCTCCTCGTCTTCTTCGTTTTTGATCGCAGGACTGTTCGCCTGTCCACGCTCGGCCGCCCTGGCTTCTTCTTCCTGCCGTCTCTCAATGAGGTAGGCTCCCCATCCGTCGTCTGGCTCCGTCAAGAGGTTCTCGCACTCAGCCCTCAACGGTTCGGTTGGGCAGGCAAGTCCAGCATCCTTGCGCTCCTTGCAGAACCAGTTCCACAGCATGGTTGCCGTCTCCCAGGCAACAGTGCCGTGAGAGAGCGCACCGGGGCAGTCAAATCCTTCCTCCACGAAGTGCCTGCGGAACACTTCTCGCTTTGTGTTCTGGATAGCGTCTAAGACGGTGGCTCGATCGCGAAGATTAGGCGCGACGGCCCAGATGTCGTCCAGGATAGCGACCTTTAGGGCGAGCTTGATGCGCTGTCTGGCCTGATCGTAGGTCTCCTGGACTGACATTGTGAGAGGAGGCGAGGTGGGGTGGGAAGAAAGCTGTAGCCAACAGAAGACCTGGTTAGTGGCTTGAAATGATTCTTGATGGTCGTGGTGTATATAAGAGAATGAGAAAAGAAGGGAGCTCCATACTTGGAAAAGAGTTGAAGAAGAGTGTAGTCCTGAAAGAAATGATCAAGTATTTCGAAGGAAGATGTATGATTTTCAGGTTGGGTTCTTTGGACGCGACGCGAGAAGGTTGAAAGTTGTGTGTGGGATGATTTAAGAAGTTTGAGAGGGGTGAAAAGGTCAGCCCTACTTAGGGCAAAGGCAAAGGCAAAGGACAGACAGGGCGGAGGGGAAGAAACGTCACTGGATAGATCAGGCAGAAGGGCAGACATTTTTGGCGGCATCGACGATGATGGGATGAAAGTCTTTGGCCAAAAGCAAGAGGGACTATCGGCGTAGAAGGAAGGTACGACGAAAGCATGTCACTACCTCTATCGAAGCGTCTATGGCGACGCCTGTTCGCTGTGACCGCATTCTCCTGGCAATACTCCTCCTCGCTCGCCGCTCACCTTGCTTCCTAAGCCCTACGATAGTTTTCGAGCTCCTTGATGATAGTCGCCCGGGTTTCCTCGGTCATCGGCATGGACCAGCCACGCACAAGGATGTCATCCTTCCTCTCCAAGTCGTCGAAGCGCTTTTTGTTCTTCCTGAAAAGGCTCTGGTGATAGCCCTCGTTGTTTCTCTGTTCTCAGAAAATTCTTCTCCCTCGCAACCACTTACCCACCGGGCGAGTGGTAGATAGGAAGCCAGCGCCCAGGAACTGGTCGGGAGAGGCCTTCTCCAGCTCCTCGGCATCGAACTTTCCTTGGTTCGAGTCCGAGAACCAGCCGGCAACGGCTGGTTTGTCTCAACGGGTAGCCGAACAAGTGGCTTTGACCCCATCCTCGTTTATCGAGAACTGAAGCTTGCTTTTGTCGGGTGGGACACAACCACCAATCTCAAGATGATCAATCCCTACTACCGGCCTTTGTTTGCTGGTCAGGAGCAACTGACCAACCTTGTGGTTACCGAACATTCCATTTCAGAATGGACGATCAACACGTTCCTACATAAAATCCACAAACTCTTTCTCGAACAGTACCCCCCTGATACCCCTTACGCCAACATGCCAGTCAACGGGGCGGCTGCTTTCAGTCGAGAACTTAGAACACTGATGGAAGATCTTTCTTCTTTGTGTTTGTTTTGAGTGGAGAGCGGAGTGAGAAGGGTGCAGCTTATATCTGTTGACGTCATCCTCTGGACCGGCTTGGGCTTTACCCCTGGGTTCGAGTCCCTATTTGACAAGCCGGCTCCCCACTCCCTCTCCTACTTCCAAGCCCTGTCCGCCGATTGCCCCGACGATATATGGGGCGTGTACGTCCTCGTTCTTAAGACTTGATCTTGTCGGTGGGAAACAGGAGACGACTGAGGGGACGACTGGCAAGTCTGCAATGATCTTCTTCTGTTGCTCTGAAAGGGACCAGGTATTTCTGGTATGGGCCCTGGAACCTGCGTTGCCTGGGGAGTTGGGAGGGAAGCTGTGCGATAGGAATCCATGGTTAGTTTGGTGTTTATTTTGTTGATGATGATGTGACTTGAGATTTGACCTGAAATGGAACTCACCTTGGGACCGGTCGCGTTTTTGATGTTGAAAACCCCGCGATGTGAACCTTGATGGCGGTGAGTTTGAACACGTCGCTAGACTTGACGCTTGCTTCTTTGATGAAAGACTGCATCGCGATTGATAGTCTGGTGTTGCTGGTTGAATCAGGTGATCCTGGCCATTCGCCAGGGCTCCGTGCCGCCGTCACTGCATACCAAATGAATAACCTTACATATGACGAACATATGTTTAGAAATTCAGGAAAGCCAGCAACTCCTCGTCGGAGTCCGACTCATCTTCCACCATAGCAGTCATAGCTTCAGCAGCCTCGGCAGTGGCGGCAGTAAAGCGCTCGATGCGCGCATTGAGGCGCTTAATCTCCTCCTCGGCACCGTCAAGCCCAGTGTGCAGAGCGTGCAGAGCGTGCATGAGTTGCGCCGGCTGGTTTGGAATCTCCCCAACAACGTCATGGACTTTGTCGAGGTTGTGATAGCCCGCATGGGGGGGTAGTGCTTGATGACCAGTGTTGCGTTGCCGAGTTTAGGGGTAGTACTGTTCCACTTGTCGCTAGACTGGTACCAGTCTAGGTAAACTAGGATGCGCCAGACGCTGTAGAAGACTGAGATCCGGGCTGTCCACAGTGGTGTACGGAGTGGGATCGGCCTGGTTGTCAATCATGTTACCGCTCAGTACTGCAGTGTTGGCTTTGCCCTTAGGCTTGCCCCTGGCGACGAACAGTGGCACCCGGCGGTGATGACATCGCCGTTCACGGATACCACACGCTTTCCGCTCTTTTACAAGTCTGGAGGCACTTCCGCGTACATCAGCGCAGCGGGCGAAATGGTTGATCGCATCGCCAAACACACCCAGGCACCTGGCGAATCATAGGAGATTACCAGGGCCAGGGTGAAGGAGGACATTGCGGCTGGCATGGCGATCAAGGATCTGGTCAACGTAGATCTGGAGTTCGTGATTGGGGTCCATTGTTGCGGTCTCTTCGTGTGGCTTTTGGTTGTGGATGAAATTTGAGATCAGACTGAAGACTACAAGAAGATTTAAGATGCGCTGTTGGAGACAGAGTAAATGTTAGGGGGATACAAATCGTAGCAAAGGAGTGAGAAGATGGGTTCCCTACAGAAAGATGTCTGGAAATGATGTGCCGGGAAGCGAGTTGAGGAGATATTGAGTGAGTTTGAAAATTCTGGGAGGGAGAGAGTGGTTCGAGTTCTTTGCTCTTTGGGCATTTCGCCATGGAGTCGTAGCTCGTATGTCGGAAAAAATTTCTTGGGTTTGTCTTGGCTAGGACCGAAAGGATTCTTTTCTTCGGCGTCTTTCCTCGCGTCGTTCCTCCTACCTTCCCAGAACCAATTCTCGGACTCTAATAGATTGCATGACATATTCGTGTCGCGTCCCTGTTTCGTGTTGGTGATCCGTCTGTAGATGCCGAAGTTCGGCGGCAAAGTTCCTCTCAATTTGTTGATGGCACCATCTCAGAGGACACTTTTGCAAGTCGACTTCATCGTCATCGTTCGCTGTTTTTCCAGGACGCACAAGATCAGGAAGGAACTGCCGGAGCTGGCCCCAAAAGACTAATGGGATGTCCTCGGTCTTGACTGCCTTGTGAATGAGGATCAGACATTTACATGGAAGTTCCTTCCCGCAACATTGAGAAGAATCACTTGAAGAACCGCGATGCTTGTCAACTTATGATGTTATCGTTATGGCAGGAAAAAAGATATTTGGTTATTCCCCTTTATTTGCTGTTTACAGTAGGCTTCTAAGGTGTGTTCTTCACTCTTGATGACGACTGGTATCAGACCCAGCGATCACTCGCCCCCTACACGCTATGCCTTCCTCTCAATCCTCGCCATGTGCTGAGCACCAACATGAACACCCACTATGAAAACGTGTCGGCTTGGTTCCCCATCTTCGACGCCCAGCAGATTGTTACCATAGGCTCATGGTCCAAATTGAATTGTCGTCGTTTCTTGAAGTAAGAAGCCCGCGCATTAACAGATACAAAACACTCGGCTACCTCCTAGGAAAGCAGGCGTTGTAACTCGACCCACGTCTCCCTTTCCCTGGTCCGGCTGATGCAGTAAAGCCGCATCTCGGAACAAGTGTCCAGGATTCTTCGAGCCAACTCCTCCTTTACCTCGGTGATGGTATGGTTCCTCATTGAGGTGGTACTAGCTGCGACGTATACGTCGCCGATTAATACACCTTTGACGTTCGAGTTGTCGTCTGATGGAAACCACCTCACGCCCATCTTCTCCTCAAGACATTTGGATGTGAGGATGTCTTGGTATAGGGTGGGTGACCGCAGTTGTGAGACCGCGGGCTTGGGCGGCGTGGTATGCGTGGTGCTAGCCGGGGTGGCAACTGCGGTGTCTTTGGCTTTGGTATTGCTGTCAATCGGAACCTGCTTGCTGCCGCGGGACGAACCCTCGCCTGTATCTTCATTCCCCCGGGATAAATGAAAGTGGACTTTCTTGCGGGCGGGAGGCGGTGGGAGTGTTCCAGTGGTTCCGGTCTCTTTGGTCTTCGTAGTCTGGGAAGGTGATGGTTTTGAGGTTTTGGCGCTTTCCTGCAGTTGTCGCTTTTGTTTCTGCGGGTTGCGATCCTCCTCCTCCACCAATCTCCGTTTCAGGTAACGGGCCCAACGCTGGTCTGGCTCGGGACACAGCTCTTCGCAAAAACCCTTGAGTGGATCTGTTGGACTTCCCTGGCCATATGGGAAGTACTTCTTCCATAGTGCTGTGGTGATGTGGCACTCCATAGCACCCTGGGAGATTGGAGTTCTCACTCCTGAGTCCTCGTAAAGTGTTTTAAGAGCGACTTGTTGCGCTTCCTGGGTTGCTTCCAGGAACTTGCGAGGATTCTTGAGCTCAGGCTCAACTCGGTAAAGTCACTCCTTGACCGTGCCGTCAAGCATGTCGATGACGCGCGTAAAAGCGGGCTTCTGGTTGTTTTGATGATTCATCTTGGGGGTGGTTATATCTATCAGTGTCAGTCTCGGCATGATATCTGGTGGACGACGTACTTACAATGGAGATGCTAAGGCGTATGAGGAGTAGATGTTGGCAAGGAAGCGTGGACTGGATTGCTAGGGGCTTTGCTGGGACAACGATGGGCGTTGGCTAGCACAAATCGAAAGGATTTAGATTGTAGCTCGTGTGGAAATGAGGAAGAATTTATGGAACGAAATTTATAGAGGGTTGCGGGAAGATTTGAACCCCACCACTTCTAGTGCCTACCAGGCAAGTGAAGTGAATGTGGCCTCTTGTACTAACGGAAGAGGCACCAGTCACTAGCCCCGCTGTTTGACGCGCCTGCTAGAATCGGCCGGTCCGGCAGGTTGCCCCGTCGGACGATGTTAAGCCAACGGCACAATCCACTTCCTTCACTGGGTGCCTGCCCGTTTAAGCAGAGCCTCATACCTCCGGACGAAACAGTGACCTGATATATTTACAGGCTTCCATGACCCTCCATTGCCAAGTAACAAGCCAGGCAAGTAGGAACGGTGTAGCGAGTGGTCAACTTGATATCATCTAGGTGAAATAGGCATTTTATCCGCGGGCACCCGGGTCGTCTTATACGGGCACCCATCCCTATACGGGCACCCATATTTCAAGCCTTGGCACGTTATTTTGATGTAAAATGGCGTTTACATGGTAAATTCCAGGGCGTTACAAGTCGCGTCACATGCATATAAAAAATAATAGCGATATTCAACGACATAGTTTTATATAGAGATTTCTATAGTACACGATATTTTGTATATAGGATAATTTTATAGTATTTATTTATATTATAGGTACGAAAGACTATAGTACTAAATTAAATTTCGTAATATTTAGTATAGTATTTTCAATATTACTAATTACGTTTATTTATACGACTATTTCGTATAATTAGAACCTTAGGGGCTAGTAAGCCTACTTAAGCCTTATTTCTCTTACGTTTAACTGCTTACTTAATAGGAAAGTTCGATTTTAGTATAATTATTTAAATAGAGTTTGATTTTGGTTCTAGAAACGATTCTAGTTTTGGAAATAAGAGTTTTGGTATAGTTATTTAAATGTAATCTAGTACTAGTTCTAGAGAGGACTATTATTACTTTAACCATTCTAGAGACGAGCCGAAATTGTACGCTGGCTCTAGTTTTAGCTTTAGAGAGGGCTCTAGTTCTAGAGAGGGCTTTGTAAAGGGTAAAAATTCTAACTATAGTTCTAATTCTAAAGAGGGCTTTAGAGAAAGCTTTAGAGTAGAAAATTTTAAAAGCGGGAGCTCTAAAGGCGGGAACTCTAAAAGCGGGAGTAAAAAATTTAATTTTAACTTTAATTCTAATTTTAAATCTAATTCTAATTTTAATTCTAGCTCTAGTATAGCTACTTAAATACAATCTAGTACTAATTCGAGGTCGCTGCCTAATATTACTTCCGATTCGCTATTATAGTTTAAAGTATTAGAATTAACCGGCTCCCGTACGCACTTACGTTTAGTAGAATTAGGAGTAAGTTCGTTAATACTATTATTATTAGTCTCCTAGTAAAATAGCTTATACTATATATTCGGCTATAAGCGAGGCAGGTTATTAAGGTTACTCTATTTAATAGGTTCAACCTTCTTATTCCCTTTTTTATTCTTTAATACTAGTATAGCCGTAATTTTCTTACTCCCCTTCTTTAAACTAAGTATAACTTTCTATTTCTTAGGGGTCTTAGGGGTCTTAGGGGTCTTAAGAATCTTCTACTTTGCTTCTAGGTCTATAAAAAGGGTATATTTATTAGGGATAGTTTTAGTAGACTTTTTGGAGCGGCCTTTCTTCTTAGGAGCAATGTAAGGGTCTCTAAAATAAAGGTAAAAATCGTAAAAATCTTATTGAAAAAAGATTAATTAGTAATTATATATAGAATAATGGATAAGGCTATAGATAAGCGGAGTATGTATAAGGGGCTCTCTATAATATTAGCGAGGGTATATTCAAATAAGTTTTAAAATCTTCTTTTTAATTATTTTAATAAATATAATATAATAATAAAATAGTTTATATTAGGTAGGGATATTACACTCCTTACTATAGGGCTCTAAAGTAAGCGAGTTACTACGTATACCCTTATTTACTTAAAACGATTTATAATTAATTAATTCGAAGGCAATATAATTAATTTATAGCGGTAATTTACTCAGATATATGCAGTCGATATACTTTTATTACTAGCTGGTTTATTAGCGTACGTTTTTTCTTTAAAAGTCTAGTATTAACTAGTAGCTATCTCTACGATGGTAGTAACTAGTTTGTAAATATCGTTGTTACTATTAAGAAGGTAGTTCTTAATATTGAAGTTATTCGATTTAATTAGCAATATAATTCTAATACTATAGTTCCTATACTTCTTAATATAATAATATACCTATTAATTTCTAATAGGAAGCTAATTCCTCTAGATAAATCAAAAAACTAGCATTTGACTTTCAAACTACTTCTTCAACCTCTCCCAAGCTACCCAAAATTCTAGTTCGGTTTTGGTGTATATTATAAGTTTAAATATAGCTACAATTCTATAGGGATTGTTAGTAATTTTAGTAATTTTACCCGTAATTGTTAATTTACTAAGGGTACTGCTGGTTCGTACGGATAAGTAAATCCTTTAATTAATTAAACTGAAAGAAACTGGATTCTCCTAATTATTTTTACCCTCTTCGCTTTTAAAGTTATCGTTGTTATTACCCTTATATTTCTTCTATTTCTTTTTCGTATTAAATAGTATGTTTTTAATAATATAGAATAAATAGAGTTATTATTGAATATTAAGGAATATATTTCCTAAGGCCTACTTTATCTCTTTATACTTATTTATAATAACAATAGAAGGAATTAGTAAATTATATCATAACCTCAATTTATAGGTAGCTTCAATTAGGAAATTAAAATCTACCTCCTTTTCGTTGTTAATAATTCTAAAGATATAATTAAATACTAAGTTAACAGAGGAAATGTCAGGTCGCTAGGGACCTATTAGGCGTTAGACCCGTACTAATACCGAGGAGCGCTGATGTCTATATAGTATAAGGCCGTAATATAACGTCGGAACGGTTCGGAGCCGTCGTAGACTTAACTATTACAAGATAGAGCTTATAATAATATAAATAACCGGTTAGACTCGCCTCCAAAATTATCAGGGTTAATTATTAATATATTTTTAATCTTCCCCCTATTTTAATATCCTTTACATATTTGCGCTATCCGTAAGTACTTTAACTTACCTTCCTCTACAATCCTAATACATTAATAATTCTTCCTACGGGAATTAAGCTGTTACCGATAGGATATAAATATATAACGGACGATTTATTTCTTAAACCGCCGATGAAACCCTTCCTTCTACCTCTGGTACGTAAGAGTTATTTATTACCCTTCTTACTATAACCGATCATATCCCTTAATAATAGCCTTTTCCTTCGTCTTAAAATTATTAACCGACTATTAAAAAGATAAATAATAATAATTCGGATAGCGATTATTCTTTTACCCCTTTATACGTTTTGTATAATCCCTTTTACTATTTAAAGAATAATATTATAATATAGAAGTAGAGACTCTTCGAACTCCGCGTAGCGGTTATCAAATTATTTTTAATTTACTTCCTATCCTATTCATTTCTTTATAATTAAAATAATTTCGTCGATTTATTAAAATAAAATTAATTCGGTAATTACCTTCCTATTCTTCTTGGATTCTGCTATTAAACTTATTTCTTTTATAATTAAACGTACTTTTCGACCCTCCCTATTCCTATTACCGCTCCCTAAATTATAACGCTTATTATTCTTATATTTACCTAACCCATTTAATTTATTACTTCTTCCGAATATTACTCTAAATTTAATATTTCCAAATTTACTAGCGAAAATTCCTTTTAATTACGTAATTTCATTTTCGATATCAATAATTATTATTCTGTATACCCCCGAATACCCTTTTTTTTCACTATTAATTATATTAATAGTAATTTTAAAAACGTTTAAATTAAATATATTATAACTTTAAAAAAGAAGATCGATTACGACCCTATCTATAATATTCCTATTTAGAAAGACCTATATACTTTTTAAAAAAAGGAATATAACGGTAATACTTAAACTATCGAACGCTCCGCCTTTATTAATTTTAAATATATATAATAAGGCGCTACCAAAACTATTCGCGCGTTCTACGACCGTTTCTATACCGAAAAATTCAATTTATTCTATAAATAATTAAAATATTTATATATTTTATAATAAATAAATCGCTTACGTCCCTATTTATATAATAGTATTTTATCGATAAACGGTATTAATATGTTAACCGAAGGGGTAGCGTATATAGAACAATTAAAAAGTTTAGAAATTCTAGAATTAATAATATAATATTAACGCTCTTACATATTACATCCCTATTTATTTTCTCTTTCTTTTCTTCCTATCTTTATTCCTACGTTTATTTTTATATTTAGTCCTAATTTTAATAACTTTTCTCGTCCTCTCCTTACAGTTTCTACTAACCCTAACATTATTTATTATTATTATAATTAATTTATATATACGTACGGCTAGTACTAAGCAATAAAAGTGTATAATATTTACTACCAATACAATAAATTTAAATATTCGGCGTTTTTTTATACTAAGCGTACTTATTATAATTATAGTAAGTTAAATTATATATTATATTAATACCTTATTCTCCATAGTACCCTAATTTAAAGCGTAAATATTAAATTAATAGTATTAATAAAGACCGCGACTACTTCGGCCTAAGGAAGCGTAAGTATATTATAATTATATTTATATATAAAATTATTAGTAAAAACATATAGAAATTAGCACAAAATTTATAATTTAATAAATTCTAGCGCGGAATTAAACTTTATTAGAAGGTATTTATACCCGTCGAACATTAAAATAGAACCAGTAAATTACCATTTTATTAATTTC